AAGAAGAAGAAGAAGAAGAAGAAGAAGAAGAAGAAGAAGAAGAAGAAGAAGAAAAAGAAGAAGAAGAACAAGAAGAACAAGAAGAACAAGAAGAACAAGAAGAAGAACAAGAACAAGAGAAGAACAAGAAGAAGAAGATCGTACCTGTTCGTCCTCCTTGTCCTCCTTGTCCGCCCATCATAGCCTTGAGGTCCGCGGGCAGTTCACCAAATCCCGTCCTCACGGTACCGTCTGGCATAGTCACCTGCCAGCGCTTCCCAACTGTCACCCGGCCCCCAGCACCGCCTCCTCCTGCTTGACCACCTCCTTGACCGCTCCTCCAGCTCATACCGGCTCCTCCTCCTCCTCCTCCTCCTCCTCCTCCTGCAGCTACTCCCATCCCTCTTCCACCAGAACCAGCACCTCTGCTTCGTGTTACTACTCTTGCTCCGCCATTCCAACTGGAGACTCGTCCCCCTCCTCCACCACCTCCTCCTCCTCCTCCCCCTCCTCCTACTCGACTACTACCGCTCCAGCTCATACCGGCTCCTCCTGTAGCCCCTCCTCCTCCTCCTCTGACTGATGGTCCTCCTCCTCCTCCTCCTCCCATTCCTGCTCCAGGGGCGTTTATCGAACTCCTGGTCTCACTGCCTACTCGGCTACTACTGCTCCAGCTCAGACCAGCTCCCCCACCTCCTCCTCCTCCCATCCCTCCACCAGACATACTACCAGTCCAGGCGGCGCCCCCCTGACCAGAGACCCCTTGACGATTCATCATAGCTCTGATGTCACTGGGGATATCCCCTACCCCAGACCGGACACTGCCGTCTGGCATGGTCACTTGCCAGTTCCTCTGTAGCCGCCCGCCTTGTCGCTGCATGAGCGCCTTGAGGTCAGCAGGCATCTCGCCTTCACCAGACCTCACGCTGCCGTCCGGCATCTGGACTGACCACTTGCTGACCACTCGATTTAATCCTGGACGGTACTGAAGGAAAAAAAAATATGAAGCAGAGTAGTGAAATCAGGCGGTCGGCAAAATATTGAAAGTGAAGAAACTTATATTTTTCAGCAAGATTGTGGATTTGTATCGTATTTTTGTGTTGTTTTCTTATGTTTGTTGTCGTTTTGTTTTGTTTG